CTGTGAAAATAAAAATATTGGACTGGTGACCAAATGTAAATAGATGGCTTAATGTTATATAGTTATGATATTAAAATTACAATTATATTCTCACAATGAGTATCTTTTTTTATATATAACAGCATAAACAGAAAAATAGATTTACCATCACAATACCGATATCTCAGAAGAAATCAACAGATCAATTTTATAGGTTCTGGATGCCCTAAAAATTAAAATAGATATATTCCATAAAATAGTTAAAATAGTTAAATTACAAACCAATTCAAAATTTTCAGTTATAAATATCCACGCGGCGCGCGTTAGTTTTTTGTAAATATTTCTGGTAGGATCAAGTCGATATTGTAAACCCGTTGAAGAGCGATTAACGCTTGAAAGCTAGCGTTTTTTAAATAAAAAAGATACTCATTGTGAGAATATATTTGTAATTTTAACACTTTTTCACAATTTTATCATGAATAGTTATGATATATAATTAATTGTGATGTTTATGTAATTTTGATCTTCATTGAATAAACTATATTAAATTTTAAATGTAAACTTTAATAACAAGTCAAAACAATCAGGCCTCCAAGGAAAAGTATATTAAAAAAAACCTTTTCTTCTCTAGCCTTCTGCCACGAAAGTCCTTCTACAGAAGAAAACATGGAATACATGGCATACATTATACCAATTTGTTCATAAACTAAAATGGCTTATTCAAAATAATTTACTTTGCCTCTTTTACGGACATAATGGTTGCGCTCAAAATATCGCTATATTGCAGTTGTCACGATATCCTAACACATCTTTGAAGGTTTTTGCATTTTGCAAATCTACGCTTTGGAAATTAAAAATATCTTAAGATCAATTATTTTTTAAACGATCTTAGTATACATTAACGTCATTATTACTTCTCTATCTTTAGCTTTTTTTCTCTATTTCTTCATATATTCCATCCATTTTATTGGAATTTATTGATAGGAATTAGGATAACAAGGTGCTTAGCTTCAAAAATACACCAATAACCTTTTAATGAGACACCTTTGTTCCAACCGTGTGGCGCAGAACAAATTATATGCAAATATTTTAGTTGCATAATCTCGATATATACTTATTTGCATATAATAGGTATTAAAAATTGAATAAAAAAGGCATATCCTGACAACAAAATTGATTTAAGCTTGTTCCATAATATGTTTAGCTAACCCATATTCTTGATAAATCAAGAAAAAACCAACCACGAACGCGTTTCGTGGGCTGTTAACCTTTGTCAGCTTATTGCAGGCTGAATCTCAACGACTTAATATTTGGTCCAAGAGGCTTCCTGAGAAATCAATAAATGGGTATTTAAGGCTAAATTTGCTTAATTACGCAGAACATGAGAAAAGTAAGAAAAAATAGAAAAAAGGTGAGGTATTGATATTGCCACGTGGAAAATTAGGGAAGACAAAAAATTCAGGAGGAGACAACAATTTATTTCAGGGAAGGACAAACTATGAATGGTAAACAAAAGATAAGCCAAGAGGGAAATTTACAGAGTAGCAAAATATAAACATAAAAATGACCACTCTGTTAATAAAAACAATAAAATTAATAAATACTTTGTTACAATATAAAAATAAAAAAGATATATCGTGACCGCTTACATGAGTATAAGAGGAATGTTGTCGTCCAGTTGTCAAGAGTGTCGAGTTACAGCGCAAGCTAGAGGTTTGATGGTGATGATTATCATATCCACAACACCTGTGTCGTCATCCTTGTGGAACTTCCAGCTTTAATGTGACCATAGCGAAGCTCTACGTTACCTCGCAGTTTCAAAATAATCTTATTCTTTCTTATTAACTCTGCCGTTCCCAAGCCCGGATAAAAAAGGAGGAGGGGGAGCAGTAACAAGCTTACTAAAAAACCTGGGCTCAGCTGGCCTGGCTGATAGTACCTTGTAAGGGCTCCAGGGATACAGGATGAGTCTGTACTCCATGTTAGGAGCAGCTGTAAATGGCGTCTGTTTTTCATGTCAGAGGTGGCCATCATCTGGAGCTAAGTCGGCCTGCTACTGAGTAGTGCTCCCAGTCTTAATGACAAAGGCAGTTGCATTCTACTTCACCTAATCATGATGGAATCTCTTTTGATGAGCTCTATCCATTCCCATTAGATATCGTCTCAAGCTTTGCAGGTTTGATACCCTAATATGATTGAGTGGAGATAAGAAAGAAGAAGAAAAACATCTTATGTTCCAAAATGTTCTTATTAAAAAATTAAAGGATCTCTGATAACACAATGTGTAACACTTTTGTCCTCGGTACACGAATAGTTCATAAAAATAAGATACACTTCAGAAAGAAAATTTATAACCTTTGTCCTTGCCAGGAAAAAAAATTAAAACATTATGGGAAGGTGCTGTTTGAGGGAATAATGAAAAAGAGAGAGATATTTATAACCCAGGGAGCGCAGAACACCAACTCCCCGGGGAGTCACTAGTATGGACTAGTGTTGAACGCTTTTACTCGCGTCCTGTTTTGATTGTTGGGTTGAACCAGTTCACCAGGGAGTTCCATGGTGAGGTTGAGTCTGGGAGGATGGAATAATAATGAAAGACCGCGCGAGAACGTACATATATTCCCTCAAACACATACATATATTTTGTTGCAGAATATTTATTATTTTCTATGAACAGATTATTATTTTTTTATTTTGTTACTTTCCCTCGTTTCCTCGGCCAATAATTTATGTCCATGAGTGTATATTATCAATTGATATATCCACAGACCTCACTGCAATGAAAAACATTATTAGATGGAAAGACTTGACATATATCAGAGGTGAACCCCCTAAATGTTTACATGTACGTCTAGTTTTTTAAAAAATGCGTATTTTTTTTTTTGGGAGGAAAAATTTATCTAAAACTGAATTCTTTCATAGTGTCATCTAAGATGTTTAAACTGAAATTTTAAGCTGATATTTTCTGAGTATAAATTCTGTATGTATATTTCTAAAATAGGATTGGGTGTTTAATGAGTTCATTTTATATCTCTTAATAAAATGTATCAAATATGTAAAAGGTTGATAAACCGAATCTTCGAGCCAATTTGTTCATTGCCTTTACATCGTTGATTTTTTATCAATATATCTACGCGTACATTTCATCTGTACATATATGTTTTACATATGAAGCAAGAAAATTATTATTCTTTGAGTGTGAAAGCTTGTAAAAAATAGGAACTTACCCTCTACCATTGATTTGTTTATTTTCTTTTTTGTCTTTTTTGCATAAGTTTAATTTGGTTAGAACGATGTGTTGTAAAATAAGATAATTTTCTGTTGCTTAAAATACGAGGTAATCAACTCGTTTCTCTCTCTATAACTAAAAATGTTTAAAGTTTAATAAATTAATTTTATAAATATGAGAGTTGTCTTCAAAAACGATCCAACAACATACTACACAGGGTATTTGTTTGGACAATATGCAAATAGGGAGCTGACTGACCTGTGGACAGGGAAGATGTCAAGTTTGTCACCATCCTGGACGTCTAGCCGCTCTAAGAACCATTGGGAAGCCAGGCCGAAGTTGTCCCTCCAGATCTCAAGCATGGCAAGTCGGTGGAAATCTTGTGGCAAGATGACAGTGTAGGACGTGGTCGTTCCACGCTCGTGGTCGTTGTGGAAGCGTTTGTTGAGCGACACCACCCTGGAGCTGACGTTCCGCTCGTCCCACAACGTCAGGCTGACGTTAGCGTCGGTCCCTGCTCCCCGACGGTCCCCCGTCTTCACGTGGATGGTCACCTCACGTCCCGGGAGCTCGGGGATTTCAGGCACCTTATCCTCGGTGGACATAAGCCCTCCCATGTTGCTGCTGCACCCACATTAGGGATAGATTCAACACAACCTGTCATACAAGAGGGACTCGAACCGGTCTTTAAATTTATCCATAAAATATTGTGTGTGTGTCTCAGTTAATAATTTATTTAAATAATATATAATGATGTCGGCGGAAAAGCAACGAGCAAAAAATGTATGTATGTATATATCTACTTGGTATCCCCCCTTGAGGAAGCTGTAAATTTGGATCTCTAGTGTTTTCATGCGTTGAATAATGTAAATAACTTATGTAAATAAACTTTTCTCCTTGTTTGGCGCAAGTATCCCTTGCGGGATATAGCGCTTTGGAAATAAAATAATTGATAATTGATCATTGATTAAATAAATTAGTCTGCTCATGTGAATTGTTGTTTAATGTACCTTGTGATTATTATTTTAAATGATTTCAGCTGTCCAGCATTTCAACTACAGTGATTGGCTATACTTCTTGGACTGCCCTCATTCAATGACACTGCCTTATTGAATCTACCAAGAAACAAACCGGCCTGGAAACACTTGGTGAACTGGTTCACTAAGGCTACCAAGACCTAAACCACAGGACAGCCCGGGGTGATCTATGGATACGCTCCAGGAGTTACCTGGGTTGGTTATCTACTTGTTACTACTACTACTAGTTGTAGATTGAGATCTTATAACTGTACAACTAGTGTTATTTTATTTATATATATATGTTATATTAAAATATTATTTTATTTAAAATTTTATTTCATAGATTCAAATACTCTGATAAATCGACCGCCAGAGGTAACGCTTCCCCTATAAAACTCATTGTTGTTGTTTCCCGATGGCCGGCTCAAACTTTTTGTACATTATGTAAATAAGTTTTTAATTTTTTGATTCTTACGCCTTAAGCCAGGCAGTACTTTTATCAAATTATGTTTTTATATATTCCTTTAGTTCCATTAAATCAATTACTCATCAATATTATTTTTATTATTATACTTTCAAGATTTTAACCACGACTTCATTACCATAGCATAATCCTCAAGATAATCAAAAATCAAGCAGAAAAAATCTTTTTATTTATAATATATATAAATAAGCATTTTATTTATCTTAATTAAATGATTCCTCGGCATCACTACCGTGACAATAGAGACAATATGGTTTTTACGGGCTACTAACCAAAAAAAAAAAAAAAACTCCCCGGCGGAGAATCGAACCCCAGTCACCCGCATGACACGCGGGAATACTATATAACGACTATACTACCGAAGAAATTAAAAAAAAAAACAACATCCCCGGGTGGGCTCGAACCACCAACCTTTCAGTTAACAGCCGAATGCGACCGTGACAATATCTCAAGGGGGAAATATAAGAAAATACTTTATTACAGAGAAAACTAGATAGATAGACAGGGAATAACTGAACTTACAAACTATACTGATAGTTCACGTTTTGTACATAACGTAATACAAGAAGAGATCACAATCAACGATTAGGTCATATTTATTCCAACAGATGGCGCAAGACATCAGCTTTCAGTTTCACGATCAGGATATGATTATCATGTTTATCATTTGAGTATAAATTAAGGCATCTCCTGATCGTGCATTTGAAAGTTGCTGATTGCGTCATCTCGGAATAAATGTCAACTAATCGGTGATTTTGTTCCTTGCTTGAATTACGTTCTTCTATATACAAAACGCGAAATATCTTTCGTCATTCTCAGGCTATCCATGTCGTTTTCCAGGTCTTCTCTTTTTTTCCTGACAGATGGCGCAAACCATCATCAACTTTCATTTGAACAATCACGAGAAGTCTATCTCTTAATGTATCCACCTTATATCAGTACAATTTCACTTATATACTAGTGTTTCATATATGCAAATAAGTTTTAAAAAAACTCCCATTCTGACGGCTAATTATTATGTAATAAATCAATATAATTTACTTTTATTATAATATATACATTCATAGACAAGGCTTAAGGAAGTTATACCTTTTTAGCATGTATGTTTTAATTTTATATTACACCTATCCCCCGATTTACACGGTACTTGTTTTACACGTTTTCGCTTTTACACGTTTTTCCATTTTTTTTTGTTTTTATCGCACTATACTAAATGCTACTGTGATTGAACACATGCGCTGTGTACACATTTCACGAGGAAATCCGAGCTTATGTGCTGACTTGCTGCACACGCACACTGTGTCTGTATTTCTAATTAAAAAAAAATCGATTTACCACGTTTTTCTCAGGAACGTATCTACCGTGTAAATCGGGAGATAGGTGTATTATATCTAATTAATATGTTTAAAAGATTTTGATCCAAATTACAACAGAAGGAATCACAGGATTGTTAGAATAGACCAAAGATAGAAAAGTTTATTTATTTAAAAGACTGCAAGCTTTCGGACCATAAAGTCCTTCAACAGGCTCATACGTACATAACAAATTTACCTGTATGGGAAATTCGCCTATTTATAATCTTTTAATGACTGACTTTGAGAAAGGTCAACGAAATCTCTCTCAGACGCTGAGACGTAGTCACGTTGCTTATGATGAATTATCGAGTAGATCATCATTATTATTTAAATGGCCGTTATATCTGCTGTCATTAATTTGTAGCAATATTCAGGAGATAGTCTTCCATGATAGATCATAGCCTGAAAGTATGGAAAACCCAGCCTTTCCTAGAGGTGATCTCTAATGAGAAATTCTGTTTTGGTTTAAAGAGTCTCCATGACTTGGTTTGAAACCACAGAGTCTCTTATAAGGGACTACCTCCAAGAGAGACTGTGTAGCCATGTTTTCATACTATGATTTCTCATGAGAGTCTACTGTAGCTGCACACAATAGAGAGCGGACAAAGCTATCGACTGCTCCACTTCCAGATCAGCCTAATTGGAAACAACACGGGTTTTCCGGTGTTGCCTACGGCGGTGTCAATCTGGCCACCCTGGATTTCCCCGGAAACTGTCTCAAGATAACTGTTATCTCGGCAGACGGACACTCGGACTGGTGATGTCCACTCGTCCTTAGTTAGTCTGCTCTGTTATCTACAGGACAGCAAACGATTCGTCAAAAACTTCTCATCGTTTCTCTGAAAGATAGAAGATGGTTGTGAAATGACTTAAGAATGCTAAGGCCTGACGATTTTTTGAGATGAAAAATTTGCATAACTTAATACACATTTGCATACCCTAATACATATTTGCATATCCTAACAAAGATCATAGAAGGTAATTTGTTACATAGATGGAAAAATAGTCTCACTCAATCCCCCAGTCTATTTCACGAGGTGTATTTTGGATCTAAACGAATATATATTTAGATAATAAAAAGTCATATTGTGTGTGTGGAATCAATAAAAAAAAGATATATTTGCCAATATTTCAGTTGGCTGAACGTCAATCTTTGTCAAGGCATCTTATTATACAAGTATCAGAGTCATCAACAATCAATTCTGTCATCGTTTGCTTTTGTGAATGTATGTGAATAATGGATTTCATATTTTTTATTAATTTTTGTTCTGGCCTTTATTTGTTTAAATCTCTTTTTAAAAATCGTTTAAAATGCAGTCGCAATCATTAGCGAACACATATGTTTGGCTAATATTTCCATATGCTCTTTTATTTTTTTACAGAAAAATATTTACATGCCAGTATTTTGGATTAATTTTTTTTAAACCTATTTTTTTTATTCTTACTGAGAAGATGGGCATCGCAGTCAGGATTCTTTACAGTCAGTCACTCAACTCAGGCAATTTCAAAGGTTAATGGGGGTTTGGTGGAAAAGCTGCCGTCTATTTAAACTATATTTATTAATTTTGAAACAACTAAATGGATTGCAAAAAAATAATTAAATCAAATACCTAAACACTAATATAATACAATTTTTGCCATTACATACTTTTTTCCTGTAGTCTATGTGTTTCCTCTGTATTGCTATTCTATGGCACTTCTACTATTTATTATTGATGTACTTTCAGTATGAAGGATACTTCACTCGGGGGATTTCTCGGGCGAAGCCGGGTCATTCTTCTAGTTACAAATATATATACAATATATGCACCAAAAATTTCATCCTCCCGCAACTTTATGATGTATACATATATACATTTACCGAAAAGACCCATCTCCTTTAAAAATACATTAAAACATTTTCTTATCATCCCAGTACAATACGTAATGGTGGGGATAAAGAATGAGCCATAACACCAATTTGACCAATTTCAGAAAAATTCAGATAAAAATTCAACAACCTGTATACCATGGTTTCAGGCAATGGTCATAATCAGTACAGGGGCGGCTTCGATTTCATAACATTCTAAGCGGGGAGTTATGGAATCGGTCAAATTGGACAAAAAGGTGTTTAAGATGAGGAAGCGGCAGAGTCGAATGTCAGGCCAGAACACAAAGTTGCGGAAGAATTAACATTGGCATTCTAAAGAGATTCACCTTTCCCATAAAATTACGTTCTGTACCGGGGTGATAGGCAAAATGCATTGTTTCAATGTATATTTATAATGGGAGATATTCCTATTTTGGTACATGAATACCTTCCACCCGTAACTTTATGTTCTATATATATCTCTAACAGTCTTGCCATAGCAAAAGAAACATCTTGATAAAGACAGGCATGTCGATTTTCGAAATGTCAAAAAGAAAGAAAATATTCTATTTAGGTGTCAAAATACCTTCGTGAAATTGACTTTGGATTATGTGAGCCAGATGGTACAAGAGAGAAACTACAGGACATGTAACAATTGCCCTGGTGTGGAACTAATTCCTACCCACATATTCTCATGTCCAGCAATGGCCTCAGCCTTGCAGAAAATTGACCCAGAACTTTACACACCCAAAATAGAGAACATTGCGACCGCTATGATAGAGATGTATGGATACATCTGAGGCTCTTCATTGGACACGACAACAACAACATAAAATTGACATGGACCCAGAACAGCAGCTTTACACACCCAAGATAGAGAACATTGCGACTGCTGTGATAGAAATGTATGGATACATCTGAGGCTCTTCATTGGACACGACAACAACAACAGAAATTGACATGGACCCAGAACAGTTTTACCTACCCAAGATAGAGAACATAGCGACTGCTGTGATAGATATGTATGGAGAAATCTTCATTGGACACAACAACAACATTTGTCGGATATTTTTTCTATCAATGCAACAAGTGATCTTTTATGAAACTTGTTAAATTTAGGTATATGTAAATTTTATCCTAAAAAGCTATCAGACCTAAGCATTTGAGGTTTGAAACCACTGGTATGTAGCATGGTCAACCAGAGTCTAAGTGTGCCAGTGTTTGAGATCTTGTTGAGCAAGTGGAGGCAGAAACTTGACATAAAAACAACTTGTCTGATTGCAGAAATCCCGGAAATTGAGGTCGCGGTAGTTAAATCATATAGTAGGGACCTCTACTTATCAACTATGCAACTTTTATCTATTCTAATTTACATACTGGCTGAGATCTTTTCCAAATTCCCAGCTATACGAAGAATAACTACCCAGTATATTTTATCAAAATAATGGAAATAAATTGAGCGAAGCGTACTTTTTATTTTTGTAAAGACTGAAAGCTTTCGAACATTACGCCTCTTCTACTGGATGTATATGCAACTTTAACGTTATATATATATATATAGCCTTTACAAAGGTGTAATGCTCGATATCGAAAGCTCGATATTTCTCCACCAATAAAAGATAAGCTTCGTCCAACAGCTGATTGTCTTTATTTTGAATTCCCAACTAGATAATAGACGTGAGGCTTACTTCATAGCTTTCTGAATTACAGACAACAAACTGGGAACATGTTTTTCTTATTTATTCCAAATAAACGTGATATAGGTTATAATTATCATGATGGGTAGTTGTACAGCCTATGAACAACGAATAAAATGATATCTTTCAGGGAAGCATAGGGCGCCTTTCCTGAACACATTTAAGTACAAACATGGCCATATCGAACATGTAGTGTGGCAAGTTGCCATAGTATGGTGTAGTGTTGAACACCAGTTTGAAACAACACTAACGAGCACATATAAGTACAAGCATGGCCTCGGACTAAGTAGCACGTCTAAGTACAATGAAGTATTGTTCATAAAAATTTATGTCTCGCGCCAGTTTATGACTTCTACTGTTGACATCTGGGAAATTTTGGATTTCCCCTATGGCCTGGATATAAGGGAGTATTCTCTCTCTATGCGGATTCGCCTATGGGATTGCAATCGCTCAATCCTGTATGT